TTCGTAGGAACATTTCGACTGCATAAAAGTTCGAAAGCGTGTGTACGCATTGTCCATGAACCGAGCATGCAAAAGTACACACGTGTCCTTGTTAAAACGTTGTTCCTTGTTCTATAAAGAAATAAGAGGGAAGAAAATAGGGAGAGAAAAGAATAGGGGGCGGGGGGGGGTTTCGTTGGTAGGTTAGTGAACAAATTTTCTATGACTATGTGCGGGGGGGGGGTTTAGCTGTAAGATCAGGGAGAATTATTTTACTGGTTAAGAATATTTAGTCTTCGTTAATTCGATATCACACGGAATTTATGATATTTTCTCATTTTATATCTATAAATTACAATTATTATTCAGTTACAATTAATCCAATATATTTAATATTATTTTTTTTTCTTCTATTTATTATAATATATAATTAAATAATATATTGGAAAATGATTTATAAAATGATTTATTTCAAATGTTTTCAAGCTGAAATAATTGTCCGATACTTTTACGTGGAATTCATTTTTCTCTTTAATTTTATCCCCCCACCTTTTTTTTTTTATAATGCACATATATATATATATATATTTTTTTTTTGTTTGTTAAAATTTTTTACGATACATATGTAAATATAAATGTATGAGTGATCTCAAGTTGACCTCCATTAACAGTAGGCTGATCTTTGAATGAGTAAAAGGCTGGGTCAGGAATATGGTATAGGTACTACCAAATAGTTCAGTAAGACCCTTGACTCGACAAATGGGTACTTGAATTAATGAAGGAACGAACATATCCGTTCGTACATACTTATATATACATATACACTTACATATTGTACGATAAGGTTACCATATTAAGCCCCAACCACGTAAACGGAAACACAAGAAAGAATCTTTGGCAACCATGCACACATACTACACGTTCGAATAAACGAATTAATGTGTTTCTTCTTTAAATATTATTATTATTATGTCAAATGTTATATCTTATTAAAATAGAAGTATTTTTATTTATTATTTTGTGTCTTATAAAAAAAGAAAAAAAAATAATTTAATTGACTTTTTTTTGTATATATTTGTTTTATTATCCCCCCACGCATTTTATTTGCATATAAAAAATACAATAAGAAAATATTTATTTTTTATTGATTTTGCGTATTAATATTTCATTCACATTTATTAATTATTATTTTGTAATACTTATATTATACTCGCGTAATATCGTATAATATTAAAATCTTTAAATGATTTGTTATATTATAGGTACACGGAGAAAAAGAGAAATAAAACAGAAGATTTTCGTAGGTATCGATCATACAAACTAGGTTTCCATGCAACGATTTGAAATAGTTTATTTTGTGGATTTATATACCGAGTATCTATGTTCAAACGAAACGATTTTATTTTTTTTTTTTTTTTTAACTAGTTGTCATTACATTTAATTAAATATACGAATTGGAAATTTTTCCATGCAAATTTTCTACACAAAAATAATTTATATATTTTCAACAAACATTCGTATATTTATCTGATTTATTACTGTATCCACACATACATTAATCATTTAAAAAAAAGTATCAATACGATATTAATATTCATATAAATATATGTATGATTGAATCATGTTATAGGACAATGACATTCATTATTTATATATGTTACTGTCAAAGCAGGAAATCAGGCATTGCTAGTAAATCCTCGGTATTACTATGAATGTAAAAAGCCTTCAGATTTTAATGAAACTAATATTAAATTAAAGTATACTCTTTTATCTACGCGTAGAATACTTTGTAGAGTTATAAAAATCAAATGTAAAGTGCAGAAAATGTCAGAGAATGCA